TGAGAGGCTGACAGCTACCAGAGCTTTACTGTGTAGCATGGAAGTGATTACAGGGTGCATTTTCTTAGAAGGTAGAATTTTTGTGCTATTTGCAGACTGAAGAAATGCCAGGGAGCTGCTGCAGGACTTGTGATGCTCCAGACTTTACAGCTGCTGGAGGCTACTTAAGCAATTTAAATTGGATCTGTATTGAAACTGTACCTCGTGATTCTGTGTCTTATTTGCTGGCTCCCAGCCTGCTTCTGCTTTGTCTGGCAAGCTCCTCCACTCTTGTGGCTTACGGATTGGAAGGGGGAAGGGCTGTTTTCTTCTACAATAAATTAAAGTTAGAGGAAAAGTAGTAACTGCAGCTAGGAATGACGACTGCCTCCAGAGAGCTAGCAGTTAACATTGACAAATTAGATGAGTGAATTCGGTACCCCGTTTAGCTTGAATTGTTCTCTGCTAAACTGATTGATTGTCCCTGTACTTGCAAAATTGTGAAAACTGAAACTGGAGCATGTCATTTCTTATTGGCAACTTGTCTAAGCTAAGCATATCAGATTTGAAAAAGTTTTCAGTAGCATTGTTAATGTCAGAACCGAAAAGTGCCTCTTAAAAGTGAAATTTAGCAATCTGCTATAAGCTTTGCTAAACAGCTCGTTAAATTGCAGTAGGTTTCAGTGTGATGAGAATGCTATCATTCTACTGTTTGTTCTAAGAAAACTTTGATGTTTTGAGGTAGCAAAATAGGTAAATGTTTGCTGTCAAGTCAGCAGTCTTTTATCTGAGACGAGTTTGCTTGTTCTGATTCCTTAAATATCAGTGAGAGTCTTGCCAATTGTTTTACTCCACAGTGCCGTGATGCTTTTATCTTTCCTACCTCTTTGGAGCCGATCTCTTCTGATCACAGAACACAGAGTGACCCAATGACCAAATTGAAGTTGGTCTCCCTTACACAAACTGCATCATCTCTGAATTGAACCACAGCAGGCAGTTGTTGTTTGTTGGTATAACCTGTCACCACAGGATCACCGTTATCTTTTGTGGTGCTTTTTCTTAGAGGCACAAGCAGAAAGTTTTACATTCGGTCAGCAGTAAATCTCAGACTCAGTCATACAGTTGTCTTCATACCAGGCTCAGATTATCGAATTTATCCAAAGCAGTCGATGCCAAATCTCCCACGCCAAGTGCGCCTCAGCAGCTCTTGTAAGCAGTATCCTGTCCAAAGGAGAAGAAAAGGGCTCGAGGTTTGTGGGACTGTGCAGAACAAAGTTGCATTCTGCACCAACCACACAAACATAACTGGACTTTGAAGCCTTTGTTCCAGCTACAAAGACTGGTGAAAAATGTGTGTAAACAAGCCCAGCTTTGATACCTGAGTGTGAGATCTTGTGGAAAATGTGAGTCTCTCAGTCGTGGGCCACCAGTGTGCCCACCTGTTCAGAAACTCCTCCCTGCTGCATCCCTCAGCCCGTTGCTGAAGGCAGAAGGATGGCACTCGGGATCGCGCAAAGTTCTGCAGGCACAGCTGCTTTCTTGTTGGCTCATTACTGACAACAGACTCCAGCTCTTCCTACTTCTGGCCATTCTTGTCTCAACATCAAAAGCAACAGTTAACATCTCCCTTTTTGTTCTTTTTGCATTATTGTTTACATTATTTTATCCTGCTGTGATCTAGATACACATGTATGAAAGTCATGGCAAAAACATCACCTTCTTTTGTAATCCCGTTGATTTGAAAGTCAGCAACAGGAAAAAGGTTATGTTTTCTTCATAACCTCCAATGGTTTCTCGTAAATCCATAATGATATTCTCAACAAGCCAAACTGAAAAATTGCTGAAAGCTTTTCTCTCCAAAGAGTGTGGCAGGACGGAGCTGGGAAACCCTCCCTTCCTCTTGTCCTAACGGGAGAACAAAAGCCAATCTGCCTCTGCATCGCGTCCTTCAAATTAAAGACACTTCTACTCTCTCCAAGTGGCAAACACTAAGGAAAAGAACGCTTATACTGAAATGATTCTCACTTTGCAGGTCTCCTCTCTCATCAGTTAAAATGGGTCACTCCGTTTGTAAAAGTCAGCTTAACTCACAGTTGGTATTGGACAGCTGAGAGCCAACCGGGAGACTGAAGACCTGCGACATCCCTGTTGCCAAGGTAGACGAGATGGGGAAAAGAGGAGCCACTGAGTTGTTGCTATGGCTGCAAGGAAGAAGGCTTTGCTATGTGAAGAGCTAATCATTTCAAACTGCTTCATCCCTCGAGGATCTGCATGAACCTTGGAGGAGAAATTTCACACTAAGCGTTCAGAAGCTGTCATTTGCACATCTGTATAATTTCCCTGCGCTAATGCCATTTCCCTTTTATTTCTTTTTGTCTCTCTAAATTGGAAGAACTGTTGTAGTTGCACTAAAATACAGAGCTTTTTCCATTAATCCTATGTGTCAAAGCAGAAATAATCTGAAATAATGAAAAGCCAATTCCTCATGAATTAAAATCTTATCATACAAATGCCAGAATCCTGCTATTAAGAGGCGTGAACTAGTGACAGAAATTTTGAAGGCTTCAAGCTAAGTGTAGGTTTTTCTCTTTTTTTTAACATAGATCTCCTTAGGCAATTTTTGTTTTGCTTTGGTCTATTTACATACTCAAGAAAAAAAAACAACAAAAAGCACATACACTCCTCTAAGAAAGAGCACCACAAAAGATGATGGTGATGTTGCTAAGGAGCTGTTTACCTGCCAAGTGTATCTGGATGATGGCTGTGGTGACCATGGGAACCAATTTGGGAATTATTTAAAGAGAACCTTGCAGTGAAATGATACTGCATTGCATGTACACTAAGTATTTCTGTAGTTGCATTTGAAAAGCCCATTTCTGAGAAAAAGATGTAACTGGAAAGCAATTTAAAGAGAAGGGTCAGCACAGGTACTGCCTGCAAAGCACATCACCATGGTGAATGCTTTTTATTGTATGCTTTGCAGATCACGTTTGAAAATAAACAGCAGTACTGTTTTAGGTTATCAACTTTGTACACATTTAAAGCTGTTTGATACTGATCAGCAAGGGACTTAGTCTGATGCCTGATCTCATTTCTCTTAAAAAATTAATTACAAGTTGCTGTATTCCCCCTAGAGAACTTATTAACTGTGTCTTTCTCTCCAAGGAGCACTCTGTTCTCGTCAGGTAAAGTGCCCTGGGCTAAAAGCTGCTGCTTCCCATTTCTAATTCAAAAAGAACAGTTTTAGTCTTATTTTTATCCCTTCTGACATTTTTTGTGAGTGATCACTAGTAGCACTGCTGTAGTTTCGAGCTTGTTGCAATATTATTTTGTGAGGAAAGCAAATGCAACAGAAATGATTCTTCTGGGGTTGAACATGACTTGGAAGATTATGGACAAAGTGGATTTTCCAGTCTGTGTGTCCAGTTCAAATAAAAGCTTTTAAATTCAGAGTCTTCTGCTGCATAAACATTGCGACTATGGGAAAACATGTTGTTATTTGAAACAATTGTAATGGAATATCTCTACTCACAAGTTGCCACTGGGATGCTACCAGAATGTGTGTCTTGGTGTCAGTCTGCTATAAAACATTGCCATTGCAACCCAGTAATGAAGTACATAAGAAATCTGGGATTATAGTTGGTGTAAGATTAGAACTTGTTTGTTCTTCCAGTTATGTTACCTGAGAACTACCTATCTATTTGCAGAATAATTAAGAAGAAATTGTTAAAGAATTCCTAATGCTGTGAGAGGTACAGTTTGGATAATTAAGGGATGTTTCTGTGTATAGAGGGGTTAGAATGACTGTGCTCTAGATAAGAAAGTTATGGATGATTCAGGATGAATGACCATATGGATCTAGTTCTAAGAAGATGGAGATTGTTTTGCTCTTAAAAGACTGTGATTAGACTTGCCTTATTTTAAAAATGTATCCTGGGCTTTCTTTTTTTGCTTTTAAGCACTTCACATTGTATGTCTGAGTCTCTCTTTGTCTTTGTACAGGTTTCAGACTAGTGGTAAGACCAAGAGTAGTCTCATATCAATGCAAAATGAATCAGTGTATTTCAAAACAAGACTTCAAGTCTTGAATGTGTTTGCAGATGTCATGACTCGTGAGGGCTTTCATTGCAAGCACATACAATGAGTACATTTTCAAAGTCTGTAACAACTCACATTAGTGAGATGTTTGGGCTTTACTTGATAAAGCTGGGACATGTTTATGAACATACTCCATTGTGGAGCTAAAAAAAAAAACCTCCAAGTATAGGAAACAGGTTGTTCCTATGTATGTAGTTTGCATTTGTTTGTATGTGTGAAGGCATTTTAATCCTGCAGAGAAGAGCATCTGTACGATTACAGAGGGAGGATAATTGGTGTACAGGAGGGCTTTTCAGAAGGTATGTTTGGATGCTCTGATCTACACTGTAAAAGGAAATTAGAAGTGAGCAAGGTATTCAACATTTTTTTCCAGATTTTCGAAGATTTTTCTCTTTTAAATTATTTTTCCTGTGGGTAGACCAGTGTTCAAAGTGGTGTCTTCTGGGATCAGTCCCATTGTTAGTCCTAAGTTGTGAGGAGCACAAAATGCTTCTCTTCCAGTTAACTTTAATGCACTCATTTGCAGTAACGAAGCAGAGAAGCCAGGTACTTTCTTAGTTTGAGAGATTAGTGCCCACTGGAACCAGGATTACCATGGAACTAAGTTACTTGAAAGTCTGAGCATGCCTGCTTTCACTGTCATGATGTCTGCTGGGAGTCCGTGTTGTCTGAGTTAGTGTTCACCAGTTCTTTGTGTTAGTTGGAAAGCCTGGGTTTAATTTATTCTAAGTACTGTGTGCCTGTTATCCTTAAAAAACAGAAAGAATATATTGTATTTATTTTCTGTAGAGACAGACTCATTCTTCAAGAGTCCTGCATGTTTCTTTGTAAGGCTCGAATGAGGGCGACTCTCATAAACAGTGTGATGACCAATTTGATTGTCTAAATGTGTGGCTTAATTAAAACTTCTGTTTGCCTTTCAGACACCTCGAACCTGTGAAAATTTTATCAAATTGTGCAAAAAGAACTATTATGATGGGACAATTTTTCACAGGTCAATTCGTAATTTTGTGGTGAGTACTGACCAAATCCTTTTTAATACACAGTATACAGTGCTCTCAAAATACTTACTAAGCTTGAGTTTTAGTATCTTCTTTGCATCAGAAATATATTAAAATATACCTCCAGAGCTAGGATTGTCCCAGCTTACTAAATTTGTAGTTACAAATCTAACAAGTCTTACTAACAACTGTTTCTGACTAATACTATCAGAGAACATCACTGGCATCCAGGCAAAGACTTTGAGAGTTGTTGCCTTGGCAAGGCTCTTGTTGTTCCTCAAGCTGCAGGTGAGTGGTTAATGAACAGAAAGGAAGGGAGATGCTAATTTGCATACGTAATTCTGCATCCTGTTGAAATCTCATTCAGATGAAGCATGAAAAAGCTGGATTTCTGATTCAGGTTGTGGTGCTGGGATGCTCTCACATCATCCTTTCCCAAAGCACTCAGTGTTCAGGAGGCGTCCGGATGAGGAGCTGCGTGGCGTGGTTTGGGGCTGGTGGTGGCAGTGGTGATGAGGAGACGGTTGGACTGGATGATCTTGTAGGTCGTTTCCAACCTTGTGATACTATGGGATATAGCTGTAGCACAGTCAGCACACACAGTTGGCTGAATGTGGACCACTGTAATCAGTATATTATGAGTTTAAGTAATTATCAATATGTTAGTCACATTTTGTGAGCATACATAAGGCTTTAATAAATATACCATACTTTAATAAAGATACCAAGCTATTATAAAGATATCAAGATGTGATGCTACAGAAGTGATTTAGAGTCTTTCGGGGTGAGATCTGTCTAATAACTCATTTTGACAGACTGAAGAAGCATGTTTTGCATTCAGAGGTCTGCTTCTCAGATTTAAAACTTAGATTTGGTTACTCACCATGCCTAGTTAATAGTTTTTCCGTTACATTTTTAATTTTACATTGAGATTTGCCAGATGTTAGAAGACAGCAAGTCCTTGATGCATCTTACTGCCACTGCAGTCCATTGGAAGGCCTGGAAGTGTGACCCTTGTTTACATAGGTGCAGTCCAGGGAGCTTAGGGTGCAGTAACTTCCTTTCAAAAGAGTTAGCAACCTGATCCTGAAGGCAGCATGCATCTTTCAGAGGACATCACTGAATGTTATATTCTGTCATGCCATCCTACAAAAAGAAAAGCTTTTTCCTTCTGGCAGGACCATATATCTTCGTTGGTAGTTAAACCAACCATTAAAATTGTGCCTGTGTGCTATCACTGTACAGCTGGTTGTGTCACACTCCCTTTACTGGCACTGGACTACAGAATATTATGTATATATATATTAGTGATTAAACTTATTATTGTGAATGTTTTCACATGGGGATTTTCCCATTGAGGTAGTGAGAAGGATACTACAAAATATGGATTCAAATACATTCTGCATCTCATTTATTTCCTTTGCATCATGTGTTGGATTGGTAGCAATATATAAAGCCTTTTCTGTTCTAAAAGCAATATGTCATTAGTTAGAAAGCACGTTACTCTCTAGTACAAAGTGGAAAGGATAATCTGATTAACCCATTTGAGACTGTTTATTTTCCTTATTTACTCAGGAGACCTATTATTTGTATAAAACTATCATTTTGCAGTAATGCAGGAGGTGACAGCCAGCTGATAAAAGCAGCTCCAAATAAGTAGCAGTGGTTTCCTTGGTGCTAACTTGTAACCTTACTTAGTGCAGGACAAAGAAAGTGAAGCAGAATTGACTTTTATAGCTTGTATTTAATGTCTTTTGTGCAGATATACATGTAACCTGTTGGTTTTATTGTAATTCTGCAGATTCAGGGAGGTGATCCAACTGGAACGGGAACAGGTAAGCTGTGTTTGAGTTAAGTAAGCTGTTTTCACTTAAGGCACTGTGTTGTTTAATTGGTGTCATCTAGTAATTCTACTTAGTGCTGCACTTTTACTCGTTATCCACTTGTACATTTTACCTATGTGCTTGTAGATGTCACCAGCCTCCACAGGTCCTTGTACGCCCTCGTGGAGTTTTGTGCCTTTTTATTCTAGTTCACACATAGGTCACTTGTGTATACAAGCACTGAATTCTTCTATGCATGTTCACAGACCATCTGAAAATAGGATGTCTTTGTAATTCTTTACCACTGCTTACTTTGTAAATAATGTGAGTTGCCCAACACATAATCCTCAACAGTTGCATGCTCTGAGACAGGAATTAAATGTTCTGAGTCTTGATGGCAAAAGCTTGTTAACAGGCTTTGTTGCTGTATTTGCATGGACTGTCAAAAGAATTGTGATTTGATTTTGTTAGAGGGAAAGTTTCAGTTCAAATCCCAAAAGGCATAATTAGGGACATCTTCTAAAATGAGAAATTAAAGAGATGTCGGGAGACCAGAGAAATGTAATGGATTGATGCAGGCAGCTTTTGCCTTTTTGTAGGGTGGGTTCAGCTCTTGCTGTGAAAAAATGAACTTGTTGGTGTCATTCTTGCCGCTGTGCAAATGGCAGAAGTACTGTAAGGCAGCACGAGTAGTGGTTGGCAGGAGGCTGGCAGGGCCACTGTTCTGAAGGTCAAGGCTCAGCTCTACTGGCAAAGGGAGCAGGAAGTGTAAGACCAAAGGGGGAAGAAAACAATGAAGACCGTAGGAGAAATAATTCCTCTGTGAGTTATTTTTAAAAAGGAGTATAATGACCTCTAGACTTCTCCATCTTGTTTTTCTCCTTGTCATTCTTAATTAAATATGAGTATGCTGTAGACAAGGTGTCTTGCAAACAACTGTCAAGGCTATTGAAGTTCCAATAAAGCGAACAGTTTATACTCAAATAAATATGACAGCGTTGCACAGTTGTTGACGCTATGGTCACTAAATGGTTTTGATGTTTTGAACATAACTGCACTTTAAATAACCTTATTAATTATTTATCTAATGTGCTAATAGTAGTGTTGCAAGAAAATGTACTAAACAGGCAGTCTGGTGAGCTACCTGACTTCTCTTGAACTCCTGTGCCTGTGTGCTTAGTGCTTACATGAAGCAGCTTAGGCAGCTCGCAGTGTAGGCAGTCGGTCAGGCTTTGCTCCACGTTACTTGGCATTCCTTGCACACTGTGAGGTGTCTACAAGCCAGCATTAACTTCACGTACAGATGTGTGTGCCTCAGTTAGCCAGTGTTCTGTGCTGGGATCTACTGTGACATCTCCAGTTGTGTGCTGAAATTCTGCCATTTAATTTGGTATCAATTCTTTAAACCCTGTAAATTAAATGAAGTACTTATTTTTAACTATAGAATGGAGAAAAGGAGAGAATGCATCTCCTTTACCATTCTCTGTGCCCCTCTGTAAATTAACACTTTGCTTAGGATGAGTGACTTACAACAACATGAACACTTAAAGTAAACAAGAGGAAAGAGAGTAAATAATTTGACTTCTGTAATATCAGGGAAGCATTTCTGTAGAACAGGATCTTCTTCTCAGGTATTTCAACTGGAAATAGTGAAGACTATTCAAAAGTTATCCTTGAAATTTTATTTTAAACTGCTGAGCTGTTTCCATCAGAGCCTTTTATAGAAAGACTTCAGACATGCACAAGCTGTGCTCGGCTCTCCTGGGTAACTGTGCTTTAGTTTAGCAAAACACCCTGAGGAAGGGCTGTCACCAGCTGTCCCTGCAGCTCCCCAGGCTGGAAGCAGCACTGAGCCTTACCTCTTTTTCGTGGGTTTTTTTTGTGCATCGCATGGTGTGCCCTTGAATCTCTTATTCAGCTGTCACAGAAGAATGGTCCCAACTTGGTTGGCACGTCAGGGGCTGATCGCTGGTACTCAGTAGTTAACCTTGGGATGGAAGAACCTTGGGACATCTGGAAGTTGATACCATGTTAGAAAGAGTGAGGAGTTGAATTTTAATTTAGCTTACTCAGCAGCACTGCCAAAGAATTAGATGCACTATCCTGTAAGTTTGATACTGACTTAGAGGACCAAACTAATTTTCTGCAGCCATAAACTTCAAGTTTCATAAGACTACTGGGAGAAATTGTGTTGTGCTGCAGTGGCTTCTTTCTTTTTCTTTAACAATAAAAAGCCACAAATCATCCATAAAGGTAGTATTCAAAGCAATAAGCTAAGTCATGGTCATTCTTTGTAATGATTAATTATTTGAAAACGAATTTTACATTTGTGATGTATCTTTTCCTGCTGTTCTTATCAACAAAGTGGTTGAACTCAGTGAGTAATTCGGTCTAGCTCGCAGTAGTGCAAATGGAACAGCTGCTCGGTGTTTCAGTGTTCCAAATAATAGAAGAAAATTTGCATGTAGGAAAAACAGTTTTAATATCCCAAACCCCTTGTATGAAAAGGGGAGAACTGTATCCAGGACATTCCATTTTTAAAGCAGCACAGGCATTTTTCAGCTACTCACATTGTTGGAAGATGTAATGAATCAGGTTGAGTTTGTCTCTGTCCATTGCTGAATCCAAGAAGGCACAAAGGAGGTTCGTAGTGCATTTTGGTTTGTGTGGAACAAAGCAAAGCACTTTTTTCCCCTCCTCTGAACTGTCAGTAGCACAGAGACTGTGGTCAATCTTGGTCAGTTCTGCAGTGTGGTTTCCTAGCAGGGAAAGATACTAAAATGTCACCAGTTGTAGAACTCTTTTCTTGCATGCCTGAAGTTTAGCAAAGGATAAGAGTGGGGCCTTCTTAACTGGAGCAGTGCCTCCATTTCGATTGCAGCCCCTCAGATATGAGGGTTAAAAGTACTGTGTCTTCTTGTCTGGAAGGAGAGAAGCACTTACTGGATGAACTCAGGCTTTCGTTTTTGCACAATGATTCAAGAATCTCTCTTGGAAAGCTCTATGGAAGTGTCAGATGTTATTATGTACCTCGCTGTTCCAAATGACAAGAACATTACAGAAAGTAAGCCGTCATTTTTGTGAATCAGAGCCCTCCCACTTCCTTACCACTGCTTAGCAATCTTTATGCCAGAAAAAGGAAGGATTTACTTAAAATCACAGCTTTCATGAATGATGATTCCCAGCCCACACCTGGCTTCTGGAATGTTACATTTCTGAAGCCCTAGGTGCATCCCTCAGCTCTTTGCATAAAAGTTACGCAAGTTCTGTACACTCATCAAAAATAATAATGAAATGGATGATTACTGAAGAAGTTGTTTGAAAGGAGAAAGCTGTTTTTAGTTTGAAATACAATCTGCAAATATGACTTCTTTCTTTGTACTTGCTGAGGTGTGCTTGCTGCAGTTGTCAGATGATATCTGTTCACCTTTCCTATAGCACAAGATGTGGAAATGAGGCTGGATAACTAACCGTGCTCCAGGGCACAGCCACAGCTTGGCTGCGTGCTGCTGTTGGAAGGCCATTCTCCTGTGGTAGCTGATCCCAGGCCCATTCCCAGCTTTGTGCAAAGGACCCACATCTGCAGTTGTCAGCACTGCTCCATTTCACATTCCCAATGCCAGTCCAGAAAGTGCCAGAGTGAGACCCTGTCTGCTCCCTTGTGAACCCCTTTGATTTTAGCACAGAAGTCCCCAGAATATTTTACAGCACTTCTTGTAATAGCAGCCCAATAACTTTTCAAGTGCAGTAGGCACTGGATTCCACTCTTGATAGAAGATTATCTTCTCTGGGTGAAAAGTGGGAGCCAGGTGAGTGCCAGGCAGCACTGCCCAATGTGAATGGAACACCCAGACACGACTCTTGTTTTCCACAGGCTTTGCCTGCGCCCTGGGAAGTTGGCTTTGGGTTCGGATTTTGCATCATAGTGATTCCATATATAGTCACTGGTGATCTGTGCTCCCTCGGAGGAAAATCTGGGGGATAAAGGAGGAGCCTGCTCTCCTTATGGCATGTGCAGGGAATGACCACATGGTTCCACCTCCTCCTGCTCTCGCTGCAGCCATTCTGCTTTCAGATGCAGTGGAGGTGGCACATCCATACCTCCCAACTGTGCTGAGAATAAACACAGTAAAATCTGTTTGATACTTCAGAATGCCTCATCTTTATTAGTAGTCGGCTTGTGGCCTGTGAGCTGTTTTCCCAAGTTTACATTGAGCTCTCCTATATAAAGCAAAATGCAAAGGTCTAAAATTCCTGTTCCAGGCTGTGCTGGCTGAGCAATAGGCACTGTGCTGCCGTGCCAATAGGCTAATGAGGGATTTGTGCTTAATCTTCAGAGAAAAAGAAAGTGATTCTGGGTTTCAGTAATTAAAAACATAGTCCTTTTAACTCACCATCTTCTAGCCTGCTTCTTCATGCAGATGTTTGAAGCTTGGAACAATTCCAGAGGTCGGGAACAGTTTGACAAGCAGCAGTTTTTAATTGGCTATTTTTAATTTAAAGGGAAAACATTTGTTTTTGTGTTTGAAGAATAAAATAAAATCATTCCAATTCCATCTATTCCATTGTTCTCCCAGCATCTTCGCTGCATCCCCTCCTCCCCATGCCAGCCCGTGCTGCAGGCCTCGTGCACACAGCCCTGCCCTGCAGGGTGCCTGTGCTTCTGTCCTCTGCTCTTCCTGCAGCTGCTGAGCACGCAGGCCTTGGGTCTGGAACTGTCTGCTGAAATATTAGCATTTGTTTCCAGAGAACTGGAGTGAACCAAAGTTAGCCATCGTATGCACGAGGTTAGTTCTGACCCTCAGAGTATGATCTGAAACCAAATCGTGCAAAAATAAGTATTCCAAGACCAAAAGATGATGGTTCATTGCTCCGGTTTGTGAGCACTGGAGTCTGGTTGCTTGTTGTGTCATGCACTGTTTTTCTTATGCTTTCTGAACTATTTTCTCACCAGTGAGGCTGCAGGGTCCAGTCCACCCACTTCCAGCAGCCTGACGAGGCTGGCATTCCAGCGTCTGCTGAAAGCCTGCTAGGGGTGCAGCAGGCTCAGGGCTTTGGCCACTTGCTGCTACGTGCCATCTCCATTGCATCTGCTTATGTTTGTATGTTATCTGAGAATTTTTAGGCAACAAACACTCCTCTGGGTTAGGACTGGTAGTGCATCTGCTTTGCAAATAATGACGAGTTCCTTCAGGAGATCCTTTGAAGCAATGTTACCTATTTATAGAAGGGAGACATGAGCGTGTCCGGGGGTGCAGGTGTGTGAGGTGTGCAGTGCTGGTGAGGAATGGGGCTGCAGGGCTGCAGGATGTGTTTGGATGGCTGCAGTGGGCCGGGTGGAGCTGAGGAAGGGAAAGTGGGAGCAGAATGCAGTGCACAATGCTCAGTGCAGCTGGTGGGGCCGGCACGCTGTGCAAGTATGCTGCTGGTTTTGAGCAGCACATGGAGCTTGCTGCATTCTTATCCCTGCTTGTGTGCAACTACAGAGCGAGGCAGGTAATGGGCACGACATGAGTAACGTCCCACAGGAACACACAGGGATGTTGGCTATCAAAGAGAAATGTTGGCAGTTTGTAGTAGGCTGAACACAGTTTGGCCAGAAGAGCCTGTGCTGGGCACCATCTTCGTGATGTCACCGTGCCCCTTCCAGCCGCCGTGGGAGCAGGTTGTCGTACGGAATCACGCTGATGTAATGAGCTGAACTGAAGTAATCTCCTTCTCTCCTGATTATAGAAAGTCCTGCAGGGTTTTTCCCTTTGGCTGCTTCTTGTAAAACTGCAGAGCAGGCAGCGCTCAACTCTATTAATAGTTCTTTGGAACATGATTAATTGGATTTTTAAGTGGGTCAGTTTCTTCCAAAATTGCTGGGTCAGTTAATTCCACTTGCAGCTGTCCACCTGTGATTCGTTGTTCTTGTAGTATCATCTGAAACTCTGCTCTTGTTTGATGCACACTTGTGATTTTCCGCATATGGTTTTTGGTAGGAATTTGTGTTATGCTTTCATTTAATTTGCTGCTTGTCCATGTAGCTGTGTCATCAAATAGCTTTTGTGTTACCTGTGCAAGTAGCCATTGCACGCTGCAGGTCTTTTACTGAGCTCTGCTTTGTAAGCGATGCAGTTACTCAAGAGGACTCTGCGTGGTTCTGCAGATGGACCAGTCTTTGCTGCCTGTCTGGGTACTTTTGTTTGTTTTATTTTTAATCCTGTCCTAAGGTGATACATTTTTCATGGCTTGTCAAACAGGATTGTGGATTTGACTGTAAAACTGTGACTCATCTCAGCCTTCGTTTTTGTTATTAAAAATGATCCTGGAGGAGAGCGCAAATGAAAATGTCAGGTCTGACATAAATAATGTAAAACTGACAGCCAGGAGGAGAGACCCTCACAGACCCAGAAATCAGTCTTGGAGGGCTGGGTCCGTGGTTGGTGCAAAGTTTTGTCATCCGTGGACTAAACTGTATTTAAGTGTTTACATCATCCGTGTATCTAGACCAAGATACCTATTTATTTTGAAGGAATATATATCATCATTTTTCATTGTTCATCCGGGAATTAAGCTTTTGAGCTTGTAGTTCCTATTCTTAGTTGATGCTGTAAACATATTTCCTCTCCCTGATGTTATATTTTTGGAAGCATTGCTGTATCCAGAGTGCAGTTAAATTAGTAATTCTTTGCTCCCTGTGTTTTTTCAGTCAGCCACATTTGAAGATTTAATGTCTCAAAAAAGAAAAACTATGATGGATGAGCAGTAAAAATAAATGAATGCTCGGCATTTCTTTGCCACATGATATATAATGCTGCTGATAAACAGTCTCATCTGTTGCAGATGATAGTGGTGTGGAGGCACAGAATTGTGTTGCCAGTTACAGACATCTGACTTCAAGGGCGTGCTCAGATACTAGCCTAGTCCTAGGGATGAGGTGGGGATATGTTATAAACACAGCGATCAGAAGCCCCAGAAACTTGGAATTTACTGCTAGTGTCTGATGTAGGATGTATCGGGAAGCTAATGAAAACAAATATTTCATCTATCATCTTTTTTTTCAGGAGGAGAATCTTACTGGGGAAAGCCATTTAAAGATGAATTCAAGCCCAACTTGTCCCATACCGGGCGTGGTATTCTTAGTATGGCCAATTCAGGACCTAACACAAACAAATCACAGTTGTAAGTAGTCGCTTGCACTTTGTATTTTATTGTTTCCCTCCAGATATTGTGCCTTGTGCTGTGAAGAAATTGAATGACATTTTTGGGCTGCTCCTTAAAGTTCAGTCAAGTGAAATATTGTCAGGTGTTGCACGGTGCAGTCAGGGTGGCTGCAGCTGCCGTTACTCTAAGAGCAGCGTGAACTTGTCGGCTCGTGGCATCATCAATTTGCCTTCTCTGTTTTATGGTTTGCAGTTTTCATCTTTTCTTATGCAGCCCCATTCTTATTCCTGTGAAATCACTGTACCTCTCCACTCTATTTAAATCTAGTCCCATATGAACTTTTTGAAAGGCTTTAATGAAATGAACCAAACGCACCTTAGAAACACTGCTTCTTTTTTTGCTGGCCCATTTCTAAATAAGAACAGTCCTGCACTGCTCTTATGTGTGGAATTCAAAATGGTGGAGCGCAGAGTCTGGGGAAAGGACTTGGTGTTCAGCGTGCCAAACAAAGGGAGGGCTAAAATGAGGGACAAAATGAAGTAAAGAAGGAGAAAGAACAACAAATGAGATTTAAAAACATTGAAGTTGTAGTAACATACTTTAAGCGTGACAGAGTTACAGAGGTTTGCCTGCAGTCTCTAGAAAATGTCCCATGTCACTTGGAGCCAACTGCGCCTCGCTCTCTAAGAAAAACTTGTACCTCTGTTGGGAACCTCAGAGGAAAGTGTGCATGTGCAGTTCTGCGTGCTGGGGCTGCGGGTGGTGGGGGGAGCCTTGCTGTTGCTCTTCACGAGGATGGTTGGTACGCCATGCAGCAGCGTGGTTAAATTTAACTAAACACAGGTGCTTGTCTCGAGGCCCTTAATAGGCTTTACTCACGTGCTGAAGCCTGAGCACGTGTGCAGGGTCCAGTTGCTGTGAAGCTTATTTTGGATTTGAATGTTGCTGCCAGCACTCAGGTGCTAAATTAGGGAAGAGCAGAGGCCTTAAAAGAATATTAACAAGGAGAGGTGGGGGATCAAGATACAAGAGACCACATGAATGAGGTGCCGGATTGAGTCTCATCATCCACAGCTGTAGAGGTGATTGTATGTTTCCATAAAATTTGCATATGAAATATGAAGTTCCCATAAAGTCCTTGCAAGACTCCAGCTGCCCATATTTTTAAAGCTTCCTAAGCAGTGTTTAGAGACTTCTGGCACACAGTGTTAATTCCATTGTCCTTAATTTTATCTTAACTGCAGTGACATTCACAAAGCTTTCTCTGTATATTTACTTCTGCTCAGGTTCCTATTACTGTAGTGCATCTAACTGACCAACTGATGGTCTACATATTGAATATCTGAGAACAAAGTGAGACGAAGAACCTTTGCACAAAGCTGAGTTGTAACATACACCCCATGTGGGAGTTTACTTTTGTACAGCATCTCAAAGCTTTCCTCTGGGCAAGCTATGTTTTAATAGATTATCTAGCAGATTGCAGCCCCTCCTGTATGCAATCATATAACTTCCTGAGGCAGTCACTTATATGGAAAAGTACTTTTGGAATGTTTATGTATTTTTAGCTGTCTCTAATGTAGTGTAACAGATGGAGACAGAAAGGAGAGCCAGCGCTGCATGCCCGGCCAGCATGGGCCATCATGGTCTGCAGAGCATGAAGTGGAAACCTCTGTCTCATACTCCTGTAGTCTAAGTCTTCTAACAAAGCATCAAACTGTAGAGAAAGGCTTTTGTAGTATGAATTGTTTTGGATTTGGTATTTCAGTTACTGAGTTTATGTTTAAAAATGCCCTTTTGCCTGGTTAAAAAATCCAATAAATTAAAAACCCAAGTTTTACAGGTTTTCCTCACTTTTGACACTTTTAAGTGCCATGTTTGTACCTGAAGCACAAATCTGCTCCATCTAGAGGAGAAGTGGATCACAGACAGGGCAATGCAATGGAAAAGAAATTGCAAATATTAGGTGTTCAAAAAGGTAAAAGTTTACACTGGCAGAAGATTGTTGTGTTAAATGACTGAATTTGCTGGTACAAACTCCCAGTCATGTACAAGAAATATCCTCACTGAGCTGCAGCCATGTGTCACTGTCCTGCTGTGAACATTCTGAAGCCTGCCTGGCCAGGGAGGCAGATGCTCACATTATTTTTGGACACTGCAAACCAGTTGTGTTTTGAGTACTGTTTGGGAATGTTGGTGAGGTACAAAATTGGGAAATCCAAACTCACAAATCCAAGACAAAACCCACAGAACAGAGGAATTAAGGGGTGTTTACCCAGTGGGACTCCCAGCAAGCGAGATCCCTGTCTCTGTAGAGGACTGTTCCATACACCTTCTGTTTTTAAGCTGGCTATTGCTGAGTCTCAATGAGATAACATGCTAACCCCTGTTTTTATTCTTTCTAGCTTTATCACATTCCGCTCTTGTGCTTATTTGGACAAGAAGCATACAGTGTTTGGAAGGTAAGTGGAAGATACCATGAGAAGCAGTGTAACAGATGTATTTTCCAGTGTGTCCAAAATCTAGAGAGAGGAATCTGCTGACTCTTGCAATTGAACTGCAGCAAAATCCTTGCTCTCAATCCAGTTCCCTTGGTTGTGATTAGGTGGCCAGTATCAATTCAGTGCCAGCCATCAGACTCTGCTTTTTTTCCCTCCTTCCATCACTACATATTGCCTTATTTCCTTTCTGTGGGTAGTTGTCTAGGGAGTCAAGAAAAAATAATCACCTTCATGTAACATTTTCACTCTTACTATGTTATTTATGACAGTGATCATTGGTATAACGTCTATGTGTGTGTGTGTATCTGTATAGACAGGCAAATAAGATACTAGCAATGTTAATATAGCGAGGGAACTTCATTCTTGAAGAAGCCTTTTCCAAAAATCTTTTCCATTTGAGCCATCGCATGATAAAAGTGAGGGTATAGATGATAGGACGTGTGACATTTTACAAAGAGATGAGTGTGTTTGTTTGTTCCTTGCTTTCTCTGCTGCAGCTACATGCTATTTACAAAGTCGCCGCAGCTATTCTAACAAATGCCCTGCTACAAATGGCAGGAAGGGGAATTGTTCTGGTTTGCTTTGGTGGTAGTTCCCAAGGATTTTACAGTCTCTTTATAATTAAGAATTGTTGCATTCTTTTCCTGGTTTTATCTATGTGAAAGGCAGCAACTGAAAGTCAGAGCATGTACAGTTTGCTTCGGTTGAATGTTACACAATAGTGCTCTGTAGTAAAAGTTAAATCCATCTTCTCTGCCAGGAGTTCTTGAGCCAGAAGCAGGCTTCATTTTAAACAATTATGTTAGTGCCATTAGTTCTGATACTGATTCTGCAGAAATGGCACCCTTTGGAATATATTCTTTTTCCTTTCTCAAGTCTGTCCTAGACAAGCTTTCCTTTGGTGAAAGCTGATAAATAAAGCAAATTCTAATTCTGAAAGTGGATATATTGGTAGATTTGTGTTACCTGTATCTTAAAATCGGTACACTTAAGCTACAGTATGAGTCCTCCTTGCAGAAATCCCCTTCAGTCTGATATGATAATGCTGTTAACCTGAGCTCACCACTTCCCCAGGTGTGTGTGGGTTAGTAGAGCTCTGCAGAAAACGTGGCTGTTGCTCGGTCTGGGATGCAGCATGGCTTCAGAGAGCATCCTGTGTGCCCTTCGTGTCTCAGGCACTGTCTCCTCAGCATGCTCTGGTTTTACCAGAATTTCAGAGTGCTGCAGATATTCTCAGCTGAAATACAAATGAAACACCTTTGCACTGATGTTGATTTAGAATCATTTCTCTGCCCACTTAAGAAAAGAGTGGCACTTTCATCTGAACACAGGGTGGGTGAATTTTACTCTGGATTCTCTTTCATCTAAAAAATGATTAATTTGAAGAATGACAAAGGTAAGGATGCCAGGTTAGATGCATTCCAATCTCCCCTTATTTATCTACAGATTGAACACCTGAACAATTGAGTTGGCATACAAATGTAATAAAAGAGCCTGATGTATGCAGCTTTTAAGGTCTGTATTCTGTCATCAAATTCCTTCAGCTGTTTTTACCTTCATTTGTTGTTTGAAAAACCATCAAAGCCAAAAGATTGAAGCGATTGTATCTCTAGTGGAACTTGCTATTTTAGATCCTGGGTGTTTCCAGGATTTGGTGACTGTATCTGATCTTAGACTGTAGAGTACAATAATATCTGGAAAGCATATCTAGGAATGATATGTAGGGATAAGAATAGAAAGAACCCATGAAATCAGAAGTCTTTGTTTCCATAATGCTACGTTGGACTGTCTCAACTGGTTGTTTACTGGCCTGTTGTGACTTTCACATAGACTTGAGAATTACTTATTTCAGTTAATGTAAAACCTAAATACCCAGAACTCAGCTGTCACCTCAACCATTTCTGTACATCTTTGGTTCATGTTAATAAGTATCACATACAAATCTCTGAGAGCAGAATTTGACCTGTTTGTAATTTGTGTAGAACTTTCCAGCAGGAATTTCATACTTACCCTTTTTTTTTTCTCTTATGTGGGATGGAGCATTGATGTTCTTTCTCTTGAGAGCTGCCTGTTGTTCATGCCCTCACTGGTTTGAAGCACAGTGTTTGCACAGCAGCAGCTGTTAGGAGTTGGATGTTTGGCTGTCAACGTGTTTCTCAAACATGCCAGCTGCAGCAGCGAGGTTCTGTAGGTAGTGCTGTAGTTCTGTAGGCACAGCCTGGCCTCACGCACAGGGGTTGTTCAGCTCTGGGGCTGGAGGACTGGGGAGCATCTTGTCACACGAGTGCTGCCCGCCGTGGCAGTAATGAGGGCAGTTGTTACTGAAACTGAAGGAGATCATTTGGCATAGATGAGGAGTAAAACCAAATGCTGAGTAAGAGAAGGAAGCCTTCCCTAGGAGGTGCGCTGCAGGCTGCGTGGGCTTCCTGCTCCAGCAGAGCTGCCTCAATTAACTTAGTAATTACCACTTCTAGTAATTACCATTTCTCCCAATTTAGAGAGTGCTGTAATTAACTTGAAATCTAACTGGTGGCTTTTGTTGGTTTCTAGCTGGCTAGTAAGAGGTTTAGGAACTCAGATAATGTAGAGCAGCTGTCTTGAGCTTGCTCTTGAGTATCATCCAGAGAAAGGACAGTAAGTATTTCCAGGTGATTGCTGCAAAGGGAAGGTCCTCCTTGCTGCACTTCTGTGCTGCAGTGTGAGGGAGCTCCCCAGCCCGTGCTGCGGTCAGTTCAACCTGCGTGAGCTGCATGCACTACTGCTGCAACACCGGCGTAGACTTGCATTCCTTACAATGGGTCTGACGTGCCTTATGAAATCTCAATGTGAGCGCATCGTATCTGCGTTCTTTTTATTTTCTGTTACTCCAGTGGCTCATAATTCCCATGGATCAGACACCAAGTTCATCTGACCTTTGTAAGTAGAAAAATAAACATGATCTGTGCCAGACAGCTGGCTGCATGAGAGATAACGGAGTGCACGCAGGTGCAGGGGTGTTACTGCACCAAGCCCTTTCAGCTTACCTTTCACCAACAGTTTGCACTTTCTTTTGAACCAAGGAAGAAGAATGCCCTGAAGAAAATGAAATGCCTCCTGGTATCCTGGGGAGCCCATTCCAAAATCAAAGGGAAAGTCCATGTTTGTAATGATAGTGAAAAGTGATTGAACTGTTGCGATCAGCAGGAGGGGAGAAATGTTTGCTGTCCAAACTGTGGGTGAAGCCAAGGACAAAGGGGGCAGTGAGCGCAGGCTGCAGGTATGCAGCGAGATTAAAGGAAGGCCAAAAGAGGGAGCAAAGGAAGAAGTGTCACCTGTCAGTAGCTGACATGCTCAGCTCAGCCTTCTCTTCCTTTCCTGCTTCCCTTGTCAGATGCTTTTGTGGCAGAAAGTTTACTCCCCTTGCATAAGCATCGTTGCATTTAATATCCCCTAACCTGCTTAGTGCTCTTGTCCTCTAAAGCGATAACCATGTAAAGCTGCTACAGTGCACTGAGGTACCCAGGAATGGTTCGGTGGTGCAGTGTTTGTTTCTGTGTGCTATGGATCAGTGCACGCCACAGCTGCTGAGCTGGGAAGCGCCAGGTTCATCTGCTGAGTTTGGTTTCCAAATGCTTTTCTCCAGGTTGCTTTACTGTTTTGTTGCTTTCCATTATTGTGTCCCATTTCCCATCCTAATCCCTTAGGAGAGATGGAGGTATTTTGATTACATCCTTGTGGCTGGTTGGAATTGCTCACTCCGTTTTGGGTTGGGTGTATACATAGAAAACATTTTGTCCTGAGAGTGTGTGTGTTTGTGACTGTATATATTGTTCTCTGTCTATATAAATGCATGTACTCTTTTGCTTTAATATAAAAATAAGCTTGAGTACAGAATGTATTTACAAAACAGAGTTTTTTTGTGGCTTCTGTTCCTGGTTTAAAGCTTTGGTGTTTCATTTTTTTGAGAAAGCCCAGACGTTGTTCCTGTTTCATCCTCTGGTCAGGAAACCCCATCGTCCTGGAGGACTGCCACCCCAGCACTGCATAAGGCACAGGAACTGTGCCTTAAAGAGTTTGAGAATAAGCAAGTCCGTGTGTGAATGGCTGTAGGGCTGCTCAGGAGCTGCAGTGCTCTGTAGGAACAACGCTGGTGTAGCTGTGAGAGTTCCTTGGCATATTGCAAATGAATGGAGCTTTCTCCACGTGTTTCTCTTGCACTTCATGCAGAGGTTTTGGCAGTGACTGCCAGACAAAGTTCCTGGTTTGCATAATAAAACAGCCATAACATGAAGTGGGATTTTAAATAACATCTCTAAATTTGAGATGCAAAGATTTCCAGTGCTAGCTTAGCTCAGTGGTCAGTAAAGCAGTGTCGCGTAGATAAGACCGTGTTTTTCATTACTTTTTTAACAGAAAAAATGTAAATGTACCTACCTTATCCCCCACGTGTGAATGCAATGCAACATTTGTCAAGCTCCTCCAAAAGCACAGCGAGCTGTCACAGGGACACTGAGCTAAATATACTGCTGAGATCATCATTCCTCTGTTCAGCATCTGCTGGAGACAGACAGCAAACCCTCAGTCTCGCTGCTTGTTCTCATGTGGATGGTGTCTTGAAGGTGTCACCTTTTCCATTGTGGGCTGTCATCTGAACTGCTGTTTAAACCTCACAGAAACTTGCACGGTCTGTTTAGGACAAAGCATGTGTGGCCTTGTCTGAGGAACGGAGCCGCACACGGTGCAGCAGGGAAAGTCGGTTCTGCCCTTCTGCCTCCCCTGTCTGCCGACCGGCCGGCTGGCAGCGGTGCTCAGTGCTCCATGACTGCTGCACGTACAGCTGAGCCCACGGCCTTTACCTTCTGTCTTAATGAAAACTGTCTGCAGGGCTCTTCATGCTGAGACTCACAGTCATTCATGCTGCAGGTTTTATCTCTTCAAAGTTAGTGGGTTATTTGAGTAATGCTAAGTAGTTGCTCTCATTTTAGAAGGTTTTTTAGTGCTTTAATGTACTGATCTGATGGTCTTTCCTACATGTAACTTATGTAGGCTTTTTTTTTGGCCACGTCCCAGGGCATGTGTTGTGGGGCTGGAGAGAATCCCCAGAAGTGCCTCGGTGTGCTGGTTTGGTTGTTGGCTGTGGGGTGATTGCTGCAGCGATGGCGGTGCACTCCCTGAGACACACTGCGTTCTGCCGCTCTGCTTTCAGCACTGCAGAGTAACGTCATGAGGTTTGACAGTAACGACTTGTCTTATTTTGAGAGCCAACGTGAGTGCCAGCATTCCATTTGATAAATCAAAGAAAGTTCTGCAGAACTGTTTGCAGCTAGCCACAAGTTTCCTGACGGATGCGTAGCCCAGTTCTCAGTGGCTGTGCGCTGTGGTCAGATCTCGTCCTTTCTGGAAGCACCTCAGCAGGGCCCGATCCTTGGCATGGGTTCCTGACCAAAACTAACCCTGGGAATTATTTCCAGTTCTTCTGGTCAGGGCTGTCTCATCTCAGCTCCTGGCTTGTATTCAAATTAATTTCTATGAGCAGTTTTATCACAGTATGGAAAGACACAAAGCAATATTGAGAGCTCACCGTGCTGACGCTGCAACGTGCATGGATGTACTTTCTGTGGAAAGCGTTAGAGGCAGGAGTATGAAAGAACACAGGAGTATGAAAGAACACAGTTCTTTCACAGTTTGGGGAAAAGAAGCTGAAGGAGGAAAGTGAATGACCTTCTGTGCAGGCCCGCAGCTGCAGCAAGGTGAGAACAACGTTGTGCCAGCGCTTGTGAATGAGGAGCACCCTTGCTAGAAGTGGAACATGAAATGAAGGGAAGCTGCTGTCTGGAACCAGGACTGACTTTTGTTTGCATCGGTTGGCATAAAAGGACCAACCTGTCACTGGAGGTGCCAACACCAAAGCACCAAATGCCAGCATGTTTAGCTGGCTGCTGGTGCTGCAGACGAAGGGAAGTGCTGGCAGCTGCCTCCCTGCAGGACACATCCACAGTTGTGAGTGCAGTTGATTTGGGGTCTGAACTTTGCAGTGTCATACAGATTCTTTTATTTCAATGCAGTCTTTACTGCTAACTGGAAAAGTGACAGAAGGCAGTAAAACAACAAATGTCCTATGAGAAGTGCTGACTAGCAATTTCTGGTGGATTATTGTTGACATCTGAACAGTGGATCTAAAAGCCACCAAGCCATCCCGAGGATGATATCCTTGTCTTCTAACACTTTCTAATCATGTCAAGCAGGTGGTATCTCATTCTTTCACTGCTGACCTGTGAATGCCACATCTACCACTGATGTAAAATGTACAAGTGACAAAGAATTCCCAGTAATGTTTAATTAGCACGGCGAGTGGAGATTCATGAGCATTGCCAAAATGCATTAGGGATAATACTGTGGGAAGTCTAGCTACGGGCTAAGGGATTACTCGATTAAATTGCTAGTGCACAGCTGATCTGACTATTTTAAATTATCAGAACCTAATTAAATGGAAACACACAGGCAGATAATGAATGGAGCTGTTGGCTAGAAAATCCTCCAATATTAAATCAGAAGTTTCCTTTAGGGGTAATTAAAATACAGTGAATGTATCTTAGGCTGTGTGTTAATCACTGGTATTAAAAGCGGATCTGATATTGGCCCGAGGAGAGTTTTGAAATTGAGTTTTCATTACAAAGTTGCTGGAGCCGATGCAGGGCTGTCAGACCCCCTCTGCTCTCAAAGCTCCCCCATGCAATATCTCCAGCTGCAAACGAATGCATCTGTTCTAGCCTGCATACGTGTTTTTTTAGAAGTCACGACCTGATTACAGAATATTGACACACCCTTGGGTAACAGGGAGAAGTTTGGAATGCTCAAACAACAAGAAAGTGTTTGCAGGAACCGCGTCTGTTCAGGCAGGTGCTTAGCAGCAGCCTCTGGAACTCAGCAGGGCTTTCTGCAGCTGGGTCTTTCTGTTGGACGTCTTTAGTGCCCCTTACCCAGGTGGTGCAGTGAGGAGCAGCCCTGGGCTCCCTGGGCAGCAGGCCCTGCCCTCTCACTGAGCAGCTCCTGAGCTCCTCTGGCTCCGGGAGCAGCGCTGTTTAGGATTAGGGCTGCTCCTCATTGTCCCACAGACGTTCGTATGGGCTGTGGCTTTGGTTCCTGGCTGTGTTAACGCAGATGTTGTCCACCTACAGCCTGCATTTGTAAAGGCTCTGGATCCCCCGGCATCAGCGGGCTTTATTTACTGCTGTTCTAAATATAGCCATTTTCACATTTAACTGGGGACAGGGATATGGATTAAGCCAGTAAATACCTTGGGACCGAGAGGTGATCCCTGCAGGACCCCTTGGAAAAAAACTGACCCAGTGGTTCCTATTTGAAGGTAGATTTTCACACCTGCCAGCGGGTTTTTGATTTAACGCGTGCCGTGTTCGCATCGTTCTGGTTTCTCCATCAAAATGTCAGCACCCTCCAGAAGTCCGTTCCGCTGACGCTGTTATCCCTATTAACCACATCTGGTGGCTCAGAGATAGAAGGCTGTCTGGCAGACTGTTTTCCACAAAACCTTGTTGATTGCCGTTACTTATTTCCTTTCTTTCTTAATCATGTCCTGTCTCCACTATTCCATTATTTTGCTGGGATAGGTGCCAGGAAGACAGGCTTATAATTACCTGGATCACCCCATTTATCCTTTCTAAATATCCTTTTCTGGAATTTTCCCATTGTTCCATGCTTCTTTTTTGGGTGAGGAAGGGTAGGAAAAAAGCACCAACAACCGTCCAGAAGTCTTCAGCCTTTTTTTAATGTTTCAAAGCAAATGTTTGCATATGTTGTCTTGAAAAACAAGCATCCAAGGATCCTCTTAAAGACAACCTATGATGAGGGGTGTGCACAATGTGATGCTCTGCTGCTTTCCCAAAGCCTCCCCCAGGTTCACTGCTGCAAGCAAAAATGGGAAGTTAATGAAAACATCTGCTTTCTTGACCCAGTCTGGTTTAGTTTTCAAAGCTCATAGTAGTAACAAATGAGATACAAATTTATGGATGTAAAGCTAGCAAATGAACCCGTTTTGCATTGGATTTGTTTTTTCTTGCACAGGCAGCTGCCCACAGTTGCTCCTTCTCCATCTGGCTGGTTTCTGTGCACCAAAAGGCTGCCGCGCTGGGGGGAGATGTCTTTGCAGTCTCTCTGAATATCTGACTTCTCCTTATTGTCTTTAAACTTAAACTCAAATCCCAGATTTGAGGAAAAAAAATTCTTACCTTCCACCCTGAATGACGTTATCTTAAGTCTTCCAAATACAGTTGCTGATTGCCCTTCCACTAAACACAGTTGGTATAAAAATCTGGTAGAGTGGATGGGCAGTGATGATATTGGATGTCAGAGTGTGGGAATATTCCAGTGATGCTGTGACAGCTGGAAGTTGTCTTTCTCTCTTAGAGTGGTTGGTGGCTTTGAGACTCTGACTGCTATGGAGAACGTGGAAAGTGACCCGAAGACAGACCGTCCCAAGGTAGGTGGGAAGTGACGGGAGCTGTGTGGGGATAGCGAGCATCTCTGGCCCTGCACAGCATGGTCACCCTGCTGCTGCTTCCCCGAAGCAGAACCTGGGGCAGACATTGCAATTCAACCAGAGAGTCAACGTTCTGCTCTTCTGCTCACAGGAAGAAATACGAATCCAGGCAACAACCGTTTTTGTAGACCCGTATGAGGAGGCAGATGCACAGGTGAGTATGGCTTTCTCTCATCTGATAGGCTGGAGAACTTTGAAGCTCAGTGACTTCAGTTTTTGCCCCAGTTGGTCCCTTGTGGAGACCATATACTTCTCCCGTGCCTCTTTTCACCTCCCCCTGCATGTGGAAGTCCCTGGCCCACACGAGCACAAGGTGAGGTGGCACAGCTGCTCCTTACGTTGCATTGTGCACAGGGAGCACAGCTGCTGTTTCAGCTGAGAGGTCTTTGGAGCTCAGTCTGGCACGGCTCCCCTCCTCACCCTTAGCAATAGCTTCCTTTCCAAATGCCCACTATGGGTGGAGGTGACAAAGAGAAGTTTTGTTGTACTGGCTGCAGACAGCAGGTTGAGGTCCTTTTCCTAAAGCCAACCCTGTTGTTGCAGCAGTGCAGATTGCTGTCTTAGAGTGCTGTACAGTTTCAAAGAACTATAGTCATGGTCTCCTTTCTCTGGATGAGCTGTTGTAACAGATTGCACTCTGCTTCCCGTAGGTTGCTGCAGAAAGAGAGAAGGTTCAGCTGGAAGAAGAAGCAGCCAAAACAAAAGCTGAGGTGGTCCCACTGAAGAAAGATGTTCAGACTCCTAAAACTTACCGTCAGGGGATTGGAAAATACATTAACATGGCTGCAGCGTAAGTTCCCTGCCCTGCTGATCTTTGTTCAGTTTTAGTTGCCTTTCTGGCTGGATGCTGACCCTGTCCATTGCTGTTTCTCAGTGCTACCTGCTAGAGCTCTGGAACAGGCCAGATGTTTGCTTAGTGCCAGCAGGCTTTGCAAAGACTCTGTTGTGCAGGAGTTGGAGATCCCTCTAGTTGTTATTTTTCAGAATCGAAAGTTGTGAGCTTTTTTTTTTCCAGCACTTGAACATGGCTGAGTTGGTCCTCAGCAGTGTTTGCAGACTTCACAATTGTAGATATGTGTCTACAATGCAGAAGTTCTTAAGCAGGAACTGTAAAAGTCACTTCCTCCTCCACCTTTTGTTCTGGTCTCTTCCCCTTCTCCAGCTATTTCTTAAGGCCACTGTCCCATGGATATCTTTTCCTTTAGCAGCTTTTCTTGAGCACAAAGAAGCTGCCTTAAACCTGCATCAGTCTTCTGATCTGATTCCTGTGCAGCCAGCAGGTTCCCAGGCTCGCTGTGGGAGCTTCAGGGTACCTGGCAGGTTGTACAGGCTTGTCCCAAAGCACCCGCTCCCAGATACCCTTTGTGCACCCACTGGAGTTGACAGCATCTCTTGCTTACCTAAAGACAGCACAGAATGCTGCCTCAGCTGCAGCCTAGCATCAGCTTTGGATAAATTACAATGAATGCCTTCTGCTTGATTTTTAGCAGACTTCTGTAACAGCATTTGCAAAAATACTATTGTCTGCCTACTGCATAAAGGCAGACATGTATTTGTGTGTACACAGATTTGGACAGCAACTGAGTCAGCTTCTTTGTGCCTGTGTGACTTACAGGCATTTGTGTAACTGTGAGAACAAAAATATGGCAGTCCATGTAGGTCAGCTCCATGTGCATCTCAGTAAAACGTTTTGGTTACAGAATATTTCTTGGACCTTAAAATATTATGTTCAGCATAAAACTGTCATTCACCGTTACCAGCTGTATGGAAGGGACATTTCTTTCCTGGTCCTTCACTCACTGCAGCCTGCCTTCAGGAGGGCACAGCAGCCCTTTGGCTCAGGCTTCTCCCTGCTGCTATCTGACAATGAAACCACAGAACCTGGCCGTGTAAAATTTCCATGGGGCTGTAAGCTCTGCTGAAGGTGAGCTGGGAATAGCAGTGGTGAGTGCAGCATGCCACGCACAAGGAGCAGACTCAGCTGCTTTACACCCAGTTCCCCATAAATCCTTCTGCTACCACAAGCATGGGTAAGAAGTGTGGGGAGCACTTATGGCTCAAACTTTCAGTGCTAAAGAAGTGCCACTGTTGAATAGTCTGCTCTGACCTGGAGAACTTGCTAGGCTTTGAACACATTTTTGGAAGCGTTCCAAGCCTGACACGAGCCATCCCTGCAGACAGCCAGAAGCCCCAGCCCTGCTGTGCCAGCCCAGGGCGCACGCTCCTCTCTGGTTCATAGCTGGCTCCGGTGTAGCTGTTACAGGGAGGGCAAGGCAGCCAGCTGCCCCACTCCCACCACGCAGCAAACAGTCCCTAAGGGGTGTTTTCATTTTGGCTCCAGGAAGCGCAGCATGGAGGATGACGGGCCCTCGACAAGCACAGCTGCGAAGAAAGAGAAAAAGAGTGCAGGCTTTGGGGACTTCAGCTCCTGGTAGCAGTGCGGAGAGCCCAGCACTGGAGCAGCGTGGCAAAAAGGAGGCCTCCCACGTGTCCCTGAAGAGCCCGAAAGACAATCTGTCCTGGGGAGAGGGAAGGCACCAGCATTCACCGCGAAGAAAACTGTTGCTTTGTTAAGGCTGGTTAATAGGCTTTGTTTTCTGGAGATCTGCGTTCCCACAACTGCATCTTTCTCGAAGGCCTTTTTGTTGTTGTTCAGCTGAGCAGGGAGCAGACGCCACAGCTCTGCTGGGCATTAGCTGGAGCCTTTCTCTGCGCAGCCAGCAGCGGCTCAGGCAGAACCCAGCCTTGCAACAGCTACATTGTGAAAGAGCTTCATTTGCAGGTAACCGTTTCCAGGCAAGCCGGGTCTGCCAGATGGATTGGTGTGCTGGGGAAGTGCTGGAAGGCTCTGCAGAGGGGAAGAGGGCTGCAGCCTCCTGCCTCTGCTTTCCAGCTGCCTTGTGCTTGTTCTCAGCAAGGACTAATTCCATCTTTTCCTCTTGCCTCCTGGCTGGACTGACTGCTGTCCGTCTCCACAGGGCCTCGCTCACTCTGAAATGAGCTGTGTCTGCACCCGTGTGATCTCCAGCAGCCTGCAAAGCAGTGAGGCTGAGCAGCGAGCAGTGTGCCTGCTGCAGCTGCACCGCTTGTTCCTCTGGCAGCTGGCCTCATGGGAGCCCCTGGGCAGCTGGGGGGCCGGGCTGCCCTGCCTCAGAGCTGCCCTCTGGGTCCAGAACTGACAGCCTGGAGCAGTTGAGTGGGAACAGAAACAGCATCACAGCATTTTTTTAGCCATCCCCTAGGGCTGCTCCCTGCATAGGCATCTCAAATATTTCCTTACATAGCCACACTGTTAGGATGCTTACAAAAGGCCTTACTGAGTGCAGAAATGCCAGCCTGGGAAATGTAACCCGTGTTACTGTCACTTACAGGTGGTGCAGTAGATCCTGAACGTGACTTCTCAGTTCACCTCCGGTGTTTTCAGAGCAGTACCCTCCCCTTCCTGGCGGAGGAGGTGGTTTTGTAGTCATCTTTGTAACCAATACATTGATATCAGTGGTTTAAGAGATTAAAGTCTCCCCTTATATGAAATAGCTGTACAAAAATTTTGGTAACATGTTTTGCAATTAAATGCTTTTATTTTCTTTTGAATGCTTGTGTTTTACCCTCAGCTGTGATTTCCAGGATCACAGCGTTACAGCATCGATTGTTGTGCAAGGAAATGATTCATTCCTATGTTTTAAGATGCTTGTGAGGAACTCAGGGATCTTTGCGGATATGATTCCATCCTTGTTAAACTATAGGAAGTTGAAATTCATTTAAAGAATAGCAGGGGTTTTCTGCAGCGTTTGCAGGGTACAAAGCCAGACACAATTCCAGGAGCTGTGTGGTGCTTTCCTGCAGCTGAGCTGCTGGTGCTGGTCTGCAGCTTGCTGCTTCTCCTGGGCTGGCCTCTGCCTCACAAAGGGGTATCGATCCCTTTTATGCACCATCTGCTTCAGTGCGTTCTAAAGTTGCAAAATTCACAGTGTTGCTGGAGCTGTTGCAGTTTAATGAACTCCGTAAGAGTGAAATGGTTTTCCATAATAGATTAGAATGGAGATTATTATGAAAGCAGGGAGCTTTTGATTACAAGGAAGTGGTGTGGTGAGGACTGCTGCCCTGCTGGGGCTGTGCTGCAGGTGCTACAAAGACGGGCTCCTTTTGCAGCAGCAGGCTGCAAAGAGAAGTGCTCGCTTTCCCGTTCTGCTGGAGGTTTCTGGCAGAGGCCTCTGATCGCTGTGGGGCTGCTGGCCTTGCACTGCCCATTTCATTACAGTTTCCCACCGTTGCCAACAGGCAGGAGCAGCCACCACTTCCTGCATTCCAGGAAGGCAGAGTAACCTTGGAGCTTTGCTCTAAGCAGTGGAAGCTCCGCGGCTCAGGGCTCTGCTTTCCCAGCTGCTCCTGCCCCCACTGCTGCCCTCGCTGGCTGTTGGCTCTACCCGCCCGTGGGGCTGCAGTGTGGGCCAGTGTGGGGCACTGCAGCCCTGGGCCTCTGTCCTGACCCCCACCTCCCTGCTCCCTCCATCACCTGGATGTATGCATAGCTGGTCGGTTTGTTGAGTTTTGTTTTTTACTTCAGCTTTTCTACTGATAGGCAAAATTGCAGGGACAAAGAGACAAAGCTCTCCTTAAAAGTACAAGTCAGAATGTTTGGCCGGACAGGCAGGACACGAGGTGGTGTGCAGGCAGGGAGGTGCAGCCCTCGTGCTCACGGCTCGCTGCAGGGCCATTTGCAGAGTTTCCACTACCTGAGTTGAGAGAGAGCAGAGAAGAGGTTTCTCTGAGCCTTTTCTGCCCTGCAGCTCCCAGGGTTCCGCAGCCAGGACTGTGCTGCAGGGGGCACCTGCAGGTCCTTGCTGTGCCCCAATAGACTGGCAGGAATTGGGCAGCCTTAGTGCAGAACTCCACTGCTGGGTGCTGTTTGCAAGCAGATTTTTGCTCTCTTTGCATTTGATGCTAGTAGATGATGTGTAGTAAGTGCTCTTGGAGGAGAGATTTTAGCATGGCTTTTGTCAACATCCCCCACCTTCTTAGCACTGTTTGCTTTGGATAACGGGCCATGGGCTGTGCAGGAAGGAGACTGGCAGCTGCTGGCCCCTTGGCTTTGTGCAATGGCTGGGATCTTTTGTTTCCACTTTCTTTGTAAATCAGATTTATTGCAGTGGGGAATTGATCGGGCTGTGGGGCAGGGAACAGAGGTGGGGATGCACCTGCAGGGATTCTGCTGCTGCTGCTGCAAGGCTCAGTGCTGTGAGGCCAGCACTGGATACCCTGAGATGGGCACGTGCAGCTCTCTGACCTCAACCTCTGGCAAAGCAGCAGGGAGTGAAGTATTTCCCACTGTTGCTGTGCAAACCCCAGCAGTGGCAGCAGCACTCGTGTGTGTACCACAACCCCTCTTCAGAACAGCCAAGCAGTTAACAGCTGCAGGTCATGTCTGGGGCTGAGGAGCCCAGGCTGGGCTGCAGGCTGAGGCCCTGGGGTCTGCATTGTGCCCCACTGTGCCAGGGCAGCTTCCCAATCCCATGTGAGGTTTCAGTGCTCCTGACGTCACGGAGCGGCTGAATTTTCCCTTTCACACAGAAAAGGGCTCATGAGCACTCACAGCAGCTGGAGCTGGCAGCGTGCAGCTTCATGGCTCCTGAAAAGCAGCCACAGTCCACATGGAACATAGAGCCAGCTGTCGTCAGCCCTTCCCCTGGAAAGCCTCCCAAGGTTTCCCTTTTCTGATAGTAGATATGTTCTCTAATCTTCGGCCTCCATTTATTAATGGTTAATTATATCTATTTGCTTTTCTGCCAGCATTGTCCCTTAGCTCACATGGCCACCCTCCCTCCTGATGCTTGCTTCCCTGCACTGTTCATAGGTGGGATTGGATCCCCTCTCTGCTGCCATGTTTGGCTGCCCATGCTGCATGCCTCCCACCGTGCCTGTGCTCCAGGAGCTTTGTGCTGGATTTGAAGACAGTGAGGTGGCTCCATCCTGCGCTGTGGAACCCTTGGGATGAAGGTTTCTGCGTGCAGTATCCCCATGTGTGAGAGCCCCCATCCACACTCAGTGGGGCTGGGGTTGCTGCTGGCCTCCAGGAAGCACAGCCCTCTGCTAATGGTGCTGTTGCTTCATTTTGCCAATCTCCACATCCCCAGGTGGAGGCATTCTGGGGCAGTGAGAGTGGCTTCCCAGCAGCCCACCAAGGGAGCAGCTGTGTAATTTCTGTCTGTGCTTTCATCCCGTGATGAAAGGGATGATAGAAAACATTTGTTTTGACCACAAGTGCAGCGGACCCCTGAGGAGGTTGCCTCCCCAGTGCTGCTGGCAGCAAATCTCCAAGATAGATAAGGTGCCAGCAGGCAGAAAATGCCAAATGCACACAGGCCTCCAAGCAGCTGCAGAGCAAATCTTTCTCCCTTGGCCGGAGGCTCCAGCACCAAAGCCTGGTGCTGCACAGGTGAGGTGCCAGCAGTGCTGTGGGGCACGGCCGGAGCTGCACGATGGCCCCGTGCGTTGGGCTGCTGCATGGCTGCAGCTGGGGGATCTGCAAGAGACACTTGAGTTTTTCTATGTAAATGGCCAAATATTTTATTGCAGGCATTCTCTGCAGATCCCAGCCAGGCTTTTAATAGATGGGTTCCTCGCCAGCGGCAACTACAAATTGATTGCAGCAGAAGGGCAAGTGAAGACAAATATAGAGCCGGCTGCCTACAGGGAGCGCACAGAGGGAACTTCGGATGCTATTTTTGGTGCTTCATCTCCAACTGCTTACAGTGTTTCTGATCTTTGCTTCTCCTTCAGAACACAGTTTGGGTTAGGATTTTGTTTGTGTGTGTGTGTGTAGGAGAAAACCCTCCCTGTTCCACAGAAGGCTTTTTCAGCTTTTCCGTGCTCCATGGCCCTGGCCTCAGGAGTAAAGCAATGGGTGAGCGCATAAACCAGGGTGTCTGCTGCCCGGATCCTGTCCGCACTGTTTGCTGGGCACTGGAGCACCCTTTGGGCCTGTGCCTGCTGCTGTGCACAGCCTGACAGGCACATCGCAGCCACAGATGCTCTTTGGCCTCGCTTTACACCTCTGTGCTTGTGCAAACCCTGTTTTGCCTTCATTTCACTGAGCTGCAGTCTGGCATTGCAGAGTCTTTTTTGCATGTTTGCCTCCAAATAACACAAAGGGCTCAGCTTCACCAGCATGCTGTTTGGTACTGACCTTAAAAATAGAGCAAAAGCAGAAAAAGCGAAGGGCTCAGCAGCGGATTGCTGTGCCTTTAGCAGGGATGTTCTGCACCCCATTTGTTTAAAGCTCTAATTTATACAGCGCCAGCCGTGGGGCTCCCGTGCAGAGGCACAGTCCACATGCTGCACAGGCGTGTTGGCTGCAGGCGCCCACCCCACAGAGCCCCCTTCCAGAGCTGTGCAGGGGGGGTCAGCCGCCCCAGCACCCTTCAGGCTGTGTGCCTCTGGAGCGTCGTCCTGTGCAGGAGGTTGTGGCTGTGATCAAGTCCCTGGCGTGGGCCTGGGCTCAGCCCTCACAGATGGGTTTCTGGGCCAGGGAGGCAAAGGTGAGGGTTGCGCTGGGAGCTGCAGACGGGCAGGTTCCCTGTGAGGCAAACAGGGCTGCCTGGCACAGGGCTGGCACCGCTGCCTTCTGTGGGAGGCTGGGAACCAGCACAGCGCCCAGGGTAAACAATGCCTGTAAAATTCCCGTCCTGAGGAGCAGTGTGTGTGCCCCAGCTGTGCTGCTTTGCACTTCTCTGTGGCATTTCCATCGGGGGGGCGGCTGTCTCCTGGCACCCACTGCAATGTCAGCCCTGGTCCCCATAGCTGCTGTTGGAATCTGTCCTGGCACTCCTGCAGCAGCCGGACAGGGCTGTGGGGCCAGGAGCTGTGTTATTATTGGCAACTTCTTTCTCTTCTCTGGGCTGAACACCTGCAGCTCTCAGCCCGTTTCCCTAGCAGAGGTGCTCCAACCTCTGAGCATCCCCGTGTCCTCCTCTGGTCCCCTACAGCCCCACATCCCAGCTGGCAGGGATCCTAGCTCACACCAGACAGGCCCTGGCCCAGTATGGCTGTGTCTGTGTGCTCTAGGCTCTGTGCCAGGTGCCGCAGCCATCGCACGGCCACATATTACATGTTTGAGCTGTGAAACACTGTGCACATGGAGATAATCATTAACTGGAGGAGCTGTTAACCTTCAGCGAGGGCTGGGCTGCCAGGGAGCACTGCCAGAGCAAAGTCTGCTTTTTAGTAAACACTGAAAGAATGCTGCAAAACATTTTTGTTTCTGTGTTATGGGTAGGCAATTACAGGGCATTAATTTGTGTCTGCACCCTCTGTGCTGCAAGAACCAGAAGACAGGGAGGGGAAGTTACAGTGACACAAACTGCATCTGGTGTGTCAGTGTGGAGCACAGAGCACGGCCTCACTGCAGGGCTGCAGTTCACACACAAACCTTCTGTCACAAAGCACCGTATTTAGACCTGAATGGAGGCAGCAGTTCAGCACCAGGGGAGCAGCAAGAACCGCCTGCACTGCCAGCAGCTCAGGGCAGGGCGACAACAGGCAGGCACAGCAACCTTGTGCTGCTTTGGATCTCACATCACGTGGGGAATTCAGGA